TCACATTTTAAAGGAGATCGTCCGAGACCAATCTAAACTTTTAAAGACTTTTATGGAACAACAAACCAATTTGAATAAAAGTTTTTTGGAATCTCGTGGGAGTGGTCAATTTCAACCACTGTGTTCGTCCACGCCACGTATAGAAGTCGCCCAAACTTAAATCCCTCCCCTTCATATTCAAACCAGACGAATCTGGAGGAGTCTTGGAAGGAGGTTGCTCTTACTATTCTAAAATGAACCCCCTACTTTCTCTCGATAAGGGTAATCCAGCGGTGTTCATCAAGCCACTGGAAAAATATTTTAAAATTAATAAAATTCTTGAGTCTACGTCAGTGGTTATCGGTTACTAAGGGATTGTTGACAGGGGGATTTTTTTTTTTTAAATTTTATTGGTCCGATGAAAGGCAGTTCGAAGAATAAGTTCGCCTTGGTCAAATCCTTTTCGCACCAGACAATCAATCAATGGCCGAATACTTTTTGAAGAATTTTAACGCTTATTCGTTGTTTACACCTCCAATACCCCAAAATGTTATTATTCAAAAAATAATGAAGGTTTGTTGCATGTTATTTGTCTTCAATTATGAGATAGAACGAGGGAGCAAGTAAATAAATAAAGTTTTGTATGTGATTAATTAATGATTAAAATTATTTTTGTATTATTTATTTATTATTATGATTTTACTGCTTTTAACTTTTTTTTTGCAACCACCATGATGGATTGACTACCTGAGAAATATCAAGGAGTTCCTGATGACCTATGTACCAAATGTCTAATGATTGAACCTTTAACCACTTAGGGAGGCTATATTTTTTTTGTGTATGGTGATGATGTGGATGAAAATGTAAATCAGGCTGCCCAAGGGATACAACTTATATCAGGTGTGTCATATTTTTTTTTTATATAATTCCCTATTTACCGACAAACTAAATACGATTAACACCATTAACAATATTAACTACTGACATTGACACTTTACTCTTATTTACTTTTAAAAAAGATTTGACATTTCTTTTATCTTTATTTATTTGTGTGTTTTTTTTGCTGGTTAGTCTTTCTTTTATTTTTCATGTATGTTTATTGTATTTGGTGTGAGCCGATGTATACGAGGATGGTTAAGAAGATGATATATGAGCAGGGGCGCACTCAGCCCTACGGTCGGTTATAAGCAGGGCCGTACTCAGCCAGAAGCCTATTCTAAGGAGCGTACTGGGTAGTTCCAAATCAACGATTTTATTTCATGGATTAGGACCGGTCAATATTCTAAGGGGCGTACATCGTGATTCCAAGTCATACATACTTTAACCAGTAGGAAAATGGAATGGTTAAACGGACTGACATACGTCTTCATGCCTTCATTACAATAATGTTTTCCAGGTGGGTTCTTTTCATTTTATTGATCTTACTAATTTATCCATTTTGTTTTGACTAGGTACCTACTGTATTTCTATTTTATTTTATTGTTACTTTCTTAATTATTTATTTATATTATTATTGCGATAAAACCCTGATATTCTTTGTTTATTTTTATGTATGTTATTCCTGACTGAGAGAACGAGCTCTACGTTCAGATGAGTTCTGCCAAATTTGACGTGAAGGATGTTGAAAGTTTGCCAAGCCTCCAAAAGTCCGTCTGCCAATCTTCCAAAGGGGCGTCTGTAAGGGTCCTAAGCTATTTAAATAATTAAATTTAAATTTGGCGCTGTTTTCGAGTTAAAATTAAATAATCCAGAAATTGTAATGTAAAGTTTTGAAAATTATTTTATATTTTAAAACTCTAATACATTGACAAATCTTGCTGGTCTATTCGAAAATCAAAAGATTTGTTGATATTAGGTGTCTATGTTTATATTATGAATTCCTTCGTAAGATCGAGGGCAATTTGGTTTAAGATAGAAGGGACTTGTGAGTGAACCTTTGAACCAGAAGGTTGAAAAGTTATTTGACTAGTTTTGTTTTTACAATAATTGTTGCTGGATTTTGGTATGTAATTTATTTATAAATTGTTGTATTTTTGTATTTGTATTGTTGTATTTTTACTGTAGTGATAAATACTACCTGGCTGAAAGTTCATTTAAAATATTTAATTTGTATTTTAAGTTTTGTTTTGTTTCTATTTGTTAAGTATTGTTTATCACTACAAAGTTATAATTTTATAATTAATGTAATTTGGGTAATGGGTCATTTTGATCATGTCTAGTAACTTTCGGTAATATTTTATTTGTTTCACTATATAATTTCTTTGTTCACATTCAAATATTTGACACATCTGGGTTTTTTTGGAGTAGATCTATTTTTAGAATATTGCCTCTGTTATATGCATTCTCCGTACCTACCTAGTTACGTGCACCTACACTGAGATAAATTGAAGTTTTCACTTTGTCATGAGCTTTTTGAGATTTAGTTTGAACTTTTCTTTAATTTACATTGTATTGTATACAACTTAATTTACTTTATTGTCTAGTTTATTGGAATCCTACTTTAATTATTTCATATCTCAATTATTTATGTAGCTCAGTGTATTATAGTCAGGTACTCGGCTATATTATTTGATTATGGGCATTTGTACTCAGGTTAAAGTCATTGTTTTTTTATTTTAACAATACCATTCACATATTATTATTATTATTATTAATATTATTATTATTATTATTATTATTATTATTATTGCATAATTTGATGTTGCTTTTAGGTAATATCATGGTAAGGTATTGGTCTCGTTTAGCCTTTTGATAGTTTCTGGTTAAAGACTTTGATTAAAAAAAACCTGTACGTCTAAGCGCTTTGATTAGAATACTGGAAAATGACTTTTCGTGTACTATATTATATTTTATATAAAACTTAATAACATTACATGGTCAGGTCGACACTTTCATTTATTTAGAGTTTTAGGCTATGTTTGTATGTTTTTGTAATGATGCTCTCCTCTTAACCCTCATTTTTTTTGTATTGTTTTTTTTGTATTTGTGTATTTTTGGGTTACTTGGAGACGATTCATGCTTGAACATTTGAGCATAGGTAATATAAAGATACACGGGACGGTGTTTTTATTTTACTACCTTACTTAAACTCTGTGTGCAGGACGTGTTTAAATATCCTCGCCATAATGCTGTCTTGTTCTGGATATAGGTTAAGCGAGGGAATTTGAATACTTAGGTGGTATACGGACATCGGGTTAAAGGGGGTGACCATACCACACCACAGAGATGCTCTTCTAACAACTTACCATAGTGTGGTTATTGGTTCGCTTAATATCTGCATTATACTCAGCATTTTCCTATCTATCCTCCTTTTATTTTGGCATTATAACTCTCTTTATTTGAAAGTTGTCGTACCTGTAATTTATTTAATTATTTTTAAAATCGTATCATCTAACAATAGTTTGAGGATACGTGGTAAGGTAATAATTGGTTATGTTTTTGTGTCATAAACTTATGACCACTTTTAATAATGACTTTGCCTGAGTGTAAAATGCTTGTATTACTTATAATGATTACTGAGTACAACATTGTTATTTCGTTTACGTATTTTTGTTGTTTTTATTTGTTTATTTTTAATTCTTGATATGTTTTTCGTTTTTCTCGGTATATATTGTTTTGTTTGTACTTTAAAAGTCGCTCAGGGTTTTTATGGTCCTTTTCCCTGAATTGCACTCCGACTCAACGGACCCCCCTTTTGTATTTGTTGTTTCTTTTAAATTTAAATTAAATAAGGGGTTTAAAAATTAATACTTGTGTTTTCTTTCACCTGACCAATTACAAAATAACTTTATTATCAATGTAAGTAAATTCACAACGTAGAGTCCTAATTTTTATAAAGTAAGTAAATTAACTAGACGATCACGAATATGCCAAAATAAGTATTTCAGTATACTTAACGAACCTGGTTACAAAATCATTCGCTATATACATAGTGGACCTTTCAATATGAGTATTAAAAAAACATTTAATAAAGGACCGCAATGTGGTGATCTGGTTGACTGTAAAACGGCGCGTGGTATGTAGTCCCAACTCTAAGTTTTTATACATTCTGAAGAAGCTAAACGATTTTCTAATACTATTGATTAAATTCAACCGGCTTTATATGAGAGTGTTTTTTTAGATGACCCTTTGCACAATGTGAAAATTACTTACTTGTACATACTGGCCCATTCCAAACCAAAAAGGACTTGTTGTTTGACAATTTTCTCCCCATTTCCGTAAGGAAAAACTGTTTTTCTAGTAATAACACCTTTTCTTTTCCAGTAGCTTACTTTGTAATTATAGTAAAAGATAAAAGTGGTCAAAAAAATCACTCCAAAAAGCACTAAATCGTACAGAAATGATGTAGTTAACAGAACCATCGCAAAAAAATTGAATTAATGATTCAATCTTAAACTTATTAATTATACATGCAAAAAGCAATATTTATTAATTATATGTGTAGACCAGCAAACATGACAAGGCCATACAACAAAGTACAAATTGTTTTTCAAAGTTAAAAATAGATATATATTTATATATATTTAAGTGTAATTTATTTAGTAATTTGGTTGTTTACTTTTATTTGTTTACTTTTCAAATCTTTTCATGAAATATATTTAAAGCTTGTCCTAAATAAAAATTATTAAACATACACATTGATGGCAATTCCGATATAAGATTATTTTAATGAGTATTCCCAAAAAATTTCATTAAAATCGGACCATAAATAAAAAAGTTACATAGCTTCGAAGCTGATTTTGAAGCTACGTAACTTCCTTAATAACGGTCGTGTTGTCACGAAAATTTCAGGGTTTACTAATTAGGACCTGCTCTTTTTAAATATGTTCCTTATAATATTAGTTCAAAAAGGGAGTAGGTAGGTATTATCATATTTGGATAATTACTACAATTTTCTTCAATGACAATTCGGTCCCATAATCTGCACTTTAAGGTCCCTTAGGAAACAAGAAAACAAATTAATAAAAATATTTATTTTATTTATTTAAAAAAAAAATTGAAAATAGTTGGTAACAAAATATTTAATGAGTTTGTTTGGACACATTAATCCATATACCACCTTCTGGAACCAAAAATAGTCCATGCTTTTGAAATCTGAAGGGCACAATAGTTTTTTCGTTCAAAGTAACGTCGTAATCTTTCAAAACTTTCACAAGGCATACTTTTATTTGCATAAGGGCAAATCTCAATCCTATAAAAGAGAAAAGAAATATTATAATTATAATAAGAAAATGGTAAACTTTAATTCTGCCGTGCTTAATGAAAACGCCGTAACCAACAATTTTGCGATTTTTGGTTTACGGCATTTTCTACTAGAACAATTTATCCTGCGTCTATCCCCGGTACTCCAAAAACCGTATCTATATCTATATATATATATATATTGAGTACCGGGGATAGACGCAGGATGAATTGTTCTAGTAGAAAATGCCGTAAACCAAAAATCGCAAAATTGTTGGTTACGGCGTTTTCATTAAGCACGGCAGAATTAATAATACACTCCTACAAAATTTTAAACAGAAATCATGCAGTTTTGTAAAGACGAATTATTTCGTTTATTTCTGCTTTTTGGTTAAATTTTTTTCAGAAGTCTAATGATTTTATCATTATCTAAGGTGAAATTTAAAATTAGCGCGTCAATAAGCTTCTAAAAATTATAGTCTAATTAAAAGAATATGAAGTTGGTTAAACTGAGTAGAAAGAAAATACTTTGCTTAAGACTTTTTTTACCTATGCATTCTCTAGGTCCCAATCCAAAAGGCAACCAAGCTGAAGGATGTCTTTTTGCCTTATTTTCATCAGAAAACCTTTCTGGGTCGAATTTATCAGGATCAGGATAAATGTCTGGGTCATAGTGTATTGCCATGGTTGGAATAAAGGTGGTGGTACCTTTTTCAATGACTATATTTGTACCGGGGATTTTGTAGTCCTTTGTACACTGTCTCGGATTGATTGGCACTGCAGGGTACTTTCTTAAAGTTTCTGCAGAAAAAAAAGAGTATAAAGATAGAGTTAATGCTCCTATTTGTGCTTACCCAATATAGCCATATGCATATACTTCATTTCATTGAGAGAATCATACGTTAAGTCTCCATCATACTTCTCAAAAACCTTCTTTATTTCTGCTTGTAACTTCTTTTGAACATCAGGATTATAAGCCAACTCAAAAAACGCATAGCTAACTAAATTCGAGGAAGTATCAAAACCGCCAAAATAAAAAAGAAAAGCCTGTGCAGCCAGTTGATTGAATGTTATGGAAGTAGCGCTGTTTTTCTCGCCATCATTTTGAGGGAATATTTTCCCATCATCCGATACCACACCTCTGTTTTTTAATTGCAATAGTAAATGAAGAAAATCTTTACGATACACATTGTTCTTTTCTCTGTAGTCCACAGTTTTCCTTATGACATCCAAGAAGAAATTTGCTACCGTCGGGTCATTAACCCTAATATTAGCCATCCTTAAAAACGAATGAGGCAGAAAAAACTGTAAGACTTGCGTAATGATGGTTTGTATGCCCGGCGCGACAAATGTGGTGCATTTGGTGGCGAAATCGTTTCCTGGGTCTTCGATGGAGTTTGTAACCAAACCAAAAGCTGTAGAAGCGATGATGTCGATGGTTAAACGACTCGTCAGGTCTTTAATTTCAAATACCTCTCCAGTTTCTGAGTGTTTTTCGATGACTTGTTCGAAGATATCGCCACATTTGATGAGTATGTTAAACATCATCTTTATTTTACCTACAAGAAAATAAGGTTGTTAGTTTTGCTTTTAATAAAATTCTGTACTTTTTTACCTGATGTAAATGTTGGGGTCAATTTGACCCTCATATTTCTCCATCTTTCGCCATCCAAAGCAAAGAGATGGCCTGATAGGGGGTCTCCTTCTTCATTGTAGTATATTCCATGACTCGAAAAATGGTTAAAATTTGTTTGCAGAATGTCTTTAACAAGGTCCAAGTCGCAAGGAATGAATACGGGCTTTATGAAGAGATATCCACCTCCATATCTTTGACCTTTCTTTTTAAAATCACTAAAAGATGTTTCGTTTTTAATACAGGAAATATAATAATCTTGGTATAATTGTAAGACCATTAGCTAGAACTGGTAATATTTTTCATTGACCAAATTCATTTTAGAATGTTAAGTTATAAAGTACACCTTAATTGAACGACCCTTTTTAAAAATAATATGAAAATTACTTACTTGTACATACTGGCCCATTCCAAGCCAAAATGAAGTTTTTGTTTGACAATTTTCTCTGCATTTCCGTAAGGAAAAACTGTTTTTCTAGTAATAACACCTCTTCTTTTCCAATAACTCAATTTGTAATTATAATACAAAATAAAAGTGGTTAAAAAAATAACTACAAACAAAACTAAATCATACAGAAATGAAGAAGTCAACAGAACCATCACAAAACTTATTTAATATTTTGAATTTGTGATATTTTTTAATTATATTTATTAATTATACATGCAAAATGCAATGTTTATAAATTATGTGTGTGTGTAATAACAATTATGACAAGACTGCACAACAGTAAGTACAAATTGTTTTTGTATTTTTAAATTTAAAATAGATATATATGTATATATACCGGGGTCGTATGCTACGCCAAGATAAGCATTTTTGGTCCTGCCTTCAGAAATTTTTTTAATAAATATAACAATAAAAGTAGTTTGTCTTAATAAAGTAAAGATCCCTATTCGTCCAACAATTGCTTTTGTTACGGCAAAAAGATCATTTTTATAAAAATTATTTATCTACAAACGCTGCTTTCAGTAATAGCATTTGCATTAATTATAAAGTAAATTTACGTTTTATTTATAAAAATAACACTCTTCCAGATGTAGAAACGCATTGATAAATATAGTTATTATTATTTGTCCAAAAACAGTTCTATACCGTTTACAAAAACTTTTTGTTGTATTATTCATAGAAATTTTGTAAATTTTATAAATCCCTTTTCGTTTAAAATAAAACTTTTGTAATAATATTAATAAAATTTATGTAAATTTAACAACAAATTAATTGTAAATTCAATAAACTATTTTCATTGCAACAATGGTCACATTTTCAACCTACTGTGGGGTGTTGGGTAGTTTTTTTTTTAATAATCGCAAGGCATTAAAACAAATTATTTATTATAACAAAAAAATTAACTCATATTATATAATGTACAAAATAAAAAAAATAGAACTGACTTTTTAAACAACCAGTCTGCTTCGTTTATAGAATAGACCTTAAACATTTCTTTTAGAAAACGTCCAAATTTTAATTTTTAGCGATCTATTTGATATTTTTATCATGCTAGATTTTACCATACTTCACTCGCACAAGTGAAATCAATAAGATTATAACACAGACTGTGGATTATAAAGATATGTTCACCAAGGAGAGCGCTGGCCCTTTCCCCCTCTTTTAAAAAAAATGTGTTACTATTGCAAAACAATATTTAATATTAAAAAAGTCTTTTTATATATAAAAAGACTATAGCAATAAAATATTTTTGTTATTGTTCTTAACGTAAGGTATTAATAAAGATTTTCTAACTGAATTAAAATTAATTTGAATTACAACGATAGTAATTTAAAAAAGACAAATATGTCATAGTAAAATTAACACATCTTACTATAAAAACTGCGCATTACTTTATGTAAGCGCAATTCACACTCAACTATAGATTTAACAAAAACATTTCGACAGTTCGACAAAGATTTAATATAAACATAATGTATTTCTTATTGCCGTGACAATATGATAACAACTATTACTTTGTTGGATGAACATTTTTTTATATAAGCTCAACATTGCTGCTTTATTATAGTAAATGAGAATTTTATTAACAGTAAAAAAAGTTTATTCTGTAAATAAAAATACCTCATTACTTTGACAAATCGTAGGTTTTGACCCAATAAGACACTGAAAATTTTATAAAAAAGGTACCGTGGTACATTTTTTATAGCCATTACAATTTTAAATTTAAGTTAAATAATATTATTTTATTAATCGCTCAGGTACATTTTTTTGAGTGTGGGGACATGTTTCCTAAAGGGCTTAAATTTTTTGCTACAGGGTTTACAAAAAAAGTGATACCTACCCCACTGAAATTTTTTTATGGGTAGGTATATTTTTTCTGATTATACAGCCTTAGGTTTAGAAAATGCGGATATCACTTTAAATACCCCATGAATAATAATAAATAGATAAAGTAATTTATTTACTTATTTGATTGTTTATCATAAATAACGCGTTTTTAAAAAAGAATTTCAATATAGCATATCATTAGCGATATAAACTTAAGTTATACATTTTCTGTGGAAAAATGTGTAAAACATAACTTTGGCATCCAACAGCTGCTGCAGCTGATGAAAACTTCTGTATTGAACCAATACACATAACCATTAGGGTCTGTATTATCAGGTGTTTTGGGCAAACGGCTAACATAAAAACTCATTGGTTTCATTCAACAACATTTATTTTATCCAAAAATTATTAACAACAAATCCAGAGTACACGGTACTCAAACTTTACAAGACTAGATTACGTTTTATTAGTCGACACCCTTTCTCACCTCTTTGGTTAACAAAAAAATTAGTCTGTTTTAACATTGAACGTTACTCGAAGACAGCTCACTAGAATGCACCGATAAGTTATCAATGTCAATATCACTTGGATCGATGGGATTCTCGGGGCGTTCGCCTTCCGGAATTTCCCCCACGTTACCCGGAAGGTAATCCTTCCAGCTCCGGAAGAGGTACCTGGTGAACTTCCTTAGCTGCCTGAACTTGCAGTAGGTAGCACCTTCGGCGGACTCGAGTTGCTGCGTTTGTATTAAAAAACCCTTCTCCTTGAAGGTTTGCTCCAGCTTTTCCCTTTGCAGAGATTTCCTGGATTTTCTCTTCTTATTGCTATGCCTGGAATTGTCTGGGTGTTGCTGTAAGGCCACTTGACTCGTTTCTGGGTTCAGTTGAAAGTCCAGAGGTGTTTTGGACGGGGCGAAGTCCACCGGAGGTACAGGGTAAATTTTCTCACCGCTTGCTTGCAAAAAAGCACCTGTGCTTGAACCCTGATTATTGTTAGCTTGTTGCTGCAACGTTTCCCGGGGGAAAAACTCGTAACCCCTCATACTTTTATCCCCCGTGCCGCTGTAATATCTAAAATTACCTCCCGAATCCACGGAGAGCATTTTTTTCTCCTGCAAACTGGGCTTTGCCCCGCCGGTAAACTTAAACTTACAAATACTGACTTCAGTGGCTGGATTCGAGGTGTTCTCACTTTGTATCGGTGGTATAAATATAGCCGATCGTTTTCTTTTCGTGGGAGTTTTCTCTGACACACTGGAGGCGGTCCTTTTTGACTTTTGAACCACCTCAGCATTGCCATTGGTTTCCAGTTTCTTCACCTTGATTTTTGGCACAATTTTCCTCAACTCCGTGGTAGTTTCAGCGAGGTTTTTAGGGTCTAATACGGGTGGTTTTGGTAGAGTACAGTTACCATTACTAGCAAGTCTTTGATACATCATTAACTGTTGCTGTAAAGCCATGGGGTGGATGAAAACTCCCGCATTAGGCCAGTAGACGTAACCATTCGCATTATCAGGCGTTTTGGGCAGATCTGGACTTGGACTGCTTAAACAATCCATTTCGTTTTTAATACTTGGTGAGGGTGTTTCGTGTACGAACTCCACATCATCGTCACTTTGAGGCTCAGATTTGATCTCTGAGGTGTACGTGTTGTCGGTGTTCTTTAAAAGTCTTATTTTTAGATGGTTGAGATCCCTTATGCATAGATTCAAAGGCTCGTGTTGGTTTTTGTTTTGGGCTTTATCTTTCTTCTCTTGAGTCAGTCTTTTTTCCAACAAACTACTTATAATGCGGTTTTGTACGTCGCTTTTTAAATCGTCTGCTGGTTTTTTCGTAGTACTGCTGTCGGTGTAAGTCTTGGGATTTGGCGTGCCGGGAAAAATGGTCCCGTAGTTTTTGTATATCAAATGGCAAATGTCGGCTTTTTTGGGTTTCCTGCCGCGCCTTGGTTTGGAGTTATCCAACGTCATTTCACCCATGTAGGGCAAGTCTTGATACTTAACTACTCTACTGGGGTTTTGTACTAGATTTTTAGTTATATTCTCATTGACTTTCAAAGGGGCGGTAATGTTTTTCAGGGGTTCGGTTGCGGATAGCTTCTGCAGCCAATTTTTTAGAGAATCTGCAGGATGTTGCTCTAAAAAACTAGGTATAACTTTCGGAACTTCATCCTCCGATTCTTCACTGGAAGATTCGTGCGAAGTGACTTCCACCTTCTCAATGTCATCCTCCAAATTTATCCCGTCAAATTTGGTCGGCATAGGGGAAAATCTAAAATAATAATAATAGTAAAGGTAAGTTTTTAAGGATGTTTTTCAGTTTTCTTACTTTGGGTCCATGATTTCCGGGGTTTGGTCCATGTAAGGGGATGTGCAGTCTTCATTTTCGTTGAAGGTCATTTCAGATGAAGGTGGTAAGTCCGAACAACCCATTGCTTCGTCCTCTTCTTCTGATTTCATGGTACCGATTTCTAAAAACCAAAAATTAAACTTTTAGAACAAAAATATGGTTTTAAATTTTTTAGGAAAATCATTATCAACTATCTAAAAATTAATTAGTCAAAAATGACTAATTTAAATAGTTATTAGTGGCTGCTTTTTCACTAGTACCATGGTTAATGGAATCCCAAAATACCGTCAAAAATTATGAAAGTGGAGCAGTTTTTGAGTTATAGTCAATTCCATATTAAATGGAAAATTGAATATATCTCAAAAACTGTTCTGCTATTTTAACTTTTGACGACATTTTCGGATTCAGGGGACAATTTTACATAAGAATTGGCTGTTAAATTTTGGGATACCATTGTATTCCATGGTTAACCATGCTGCAAGTGAAAAAGCAGCCACTGATAACTATTAAATTAGTCATTTTTGACTAATTCATTTTTAGAGAGAATATTAAATATACCAAAGTACAACAAAATTATAAAATACAGATCGCCAGTATAAAATTAAAAAAGGACAAAAAATAAAAAAAAATACAGGGTGTTCAAAAATAGCGCACTAACGCCATACAACGCGAGGAAGTTACTAAAGAACTAAAACAAATTATATTTTCTGACTTTCGGACTTCTTAAATAAGTATATTATTACGAGAGTATATACGAGAGATAATGTGCATAATCTTGAGTGTAATACTATACTTTATCTACTCCTATAAGTAGATAATGATTTTCAAAAATATATAAGTAAAATCTGTCATCTGTCAAATGGTTAACCTTACTTTTTAACAATTTTAAATTTTATTATAGTCGCCTTCTCCCAATTTAAAACCCGATTGGTTCAAATCACAGTGAATATTGAAATCGGCCAATCACTGCCCTAACAACGTGAATAATGAGCTCATTATTCCCGTTGTTAGCCAGGGAAATTATAATGTTTATCATTATTCACGAACAAAACCCAATATTATGCAATAGGAGTAGATAATAGTTATTTATGTATAAAGGCAGTAAAGTCGTATTTTTTATCAAAAATAACCACGTGAGTGATAAAAAATGACTTTAATGCCGAGGTGCATATTAAATTTTATCCGAAATCACATTTAATAATACTAATAATTATTATTGATGATTAAATCAAATGTCATTTGATGATCAAATCAAATGCCATTTAAATGTAGGAAGTGTCTACGTACGAGGTGTGTTCAAAAAATAACGGGAATTGTTAAATTTCGCGGGTTCGGAGGGTCCGGTTGTCATAAAATTTTCTTTATTATATTGGTATACATGCCCCCAAAGTATGATAAAAACTTTAGCTGTTTTCATTGTTTACTTTGTCTGTGGCAGCCGCTAAGGTTAGACGTGTTTTTTGAGCTAGGCGATTTTTCGTTCGTTAAAAGAAATGGATCAAAGAATTTGTATCCAATTTTACTTAAAAAATGAAATAAATTCTGTGAAATGTTAACAAACGCCTATAATGAGTAAAACAAGAGTTTACAAGTGGTATAAGAGTTTCCAAGATGGCAGTGAAGACGTTAAAGATGACGAACGCCCCGAACGCACAAGCACATTAACAACCGATAAAAACATGGAAAAAGTGGAAGAAATGGTTATAAACCATCAGAGAAGTCGCTGATGATGTTGGTATATCGATTGGCTCATCCCATGAAATTTTTTCAAATGTTTTGGGTATGAATCGCGTGGCAGCAAAATTTGTTCTAAAATTTTAAAAGTTTTGAACAAAATTTTTGGCCAAAAACAATACTGTAATGATGCCCCAGCCTCCATATTCGCCAGACATGCCTCTGTCTGACTTTTTTCTATTCCCAAAAATAAAGAAAAATTTAAAGGGCCGTCGTTTTGCAAGCATAGATGACATTAAAAGCGCATCGCCGAAAGAACTAAAGGCTATCCCAAAGATCGAGTTTTAGAAGTGTTTCGAGTATTGGAAGAAGAGCTGGCACATGTGCATAATATCCAATGGGGACTATTTTGAAGGCGACAACATTAATGTAGACGAATAAATAAAAATTTGTTACAAAAAACGAAAATTCCCAATATTTTCTGAACACACCTCGTATACTGTTTGTTGTTAATAATAACATTAACTTAATATTTTTATTAAACAACATTTTATAAAAGGGTTCAATCGACTTCCGCGATGGTGCTTTTTTTAAATATTATTTAGTTGCTGCTGAGGAGCAGTAGACACATCTTAAAATGTATAATGGGTTACATACAATACTAGCAATAAATCGGCAGTAAAGTTCTACTTTACTGCCGATTGTTGACTGCTTTACTGCCGATTTCGGATAAAATAATTTTCACATTTAGTATTATTTTACAAGAAAGGCACTTTATTCTAACGATTGTATGACATTTGACAACTGTCAACTAACTTAAAACTAACTTCAGCCTGTGACTAATTTTTGAAAGAAATTGATTGAAATTTAAAATTTAAACACACACCCTAAATGTACGACTATGATCAATTTTTTGACAAGCAATGTTATCGATAAATATTAAGGGCGATTTTACTTATTTTACACCCTGTATATGGAATTTAAAGACGTAATACTACTTGATTACGTAAAGTGTTGTAATTTCTTAAAACTAGCAATTTAAAAAACTTACTCTTATTCATATTGCGGCGAACGAATATTTATTTATCCAACAATAAATAAAATCCTTGATATCACAGATAGAGCAGAAAAACACTAACAATAATAATTAAGGCAATAAATCACAGAGTATAAAACTTTAGTTTGTAAAGTGAACACATTTTGGGGAGGATGTTTGACTTCCTCTTGGCTTGGCCCCGCGTGGAAAAGGAAAACTTAGCACCGAAATAGTTTCGATCATCATTTGTGGTGTATTGGGTGGCCTGTTGGCCGTGTATGGCGCGCCGCGACGCGCTATTTCTGGCGTCCCGACGCTCTTGCCGACTCCCACTTTTAGGCTTATTCCCGTTATGGGGCGCTGTAACACGAGATTAGCGCCTTAAAAGGCATTCGACTGCGGCAAGCTCCAACAGAGCTCAGTTAAGAATAACCGAGGTCCAAATAAAAGTGTCGGTTAGTTTTTTCGGCGTTTGTGCTCGAGGAGGAAATTTTAAATGAACACATGGCGTACAGAGCTATTTCCAACTTTTCTTCATCACGATTTTATTACCTACATTAACCCATATACACTCACAGGCAAAATAATCGATCCACACAAATTTTCGATGAATTTCAATATTAAAGAATATTGTAGATAAATTAATGGACAATCGCTCACATTTTAAAAAAATACTAAAAAATAGACGTACGTTTATAATATACAGGTTTAAACAAAAAGATGTTTTTTAACATAAGTTTAAGACACTCTGTAGAGTGGCAAAACCGTATATTGTTCTAAATTAAGTTTTATTTATCAAGTCACCTCTATTCTTAACAGTTTTGTTTTTGGTTCACCTCGATATACTTATTTTTGTGGAAAATATGGATTTTTTAAAAAAACATTGCAATTTCCTATATTTTTCTGTATGAAGAACTAAGGTTGCTATGGTCGATCCATATGCTATGGATAATTACAGTGACAGTTTTATTGAATCATCCCATACTTGGACATGTCATACACGGCTTTCAAAAGCTATCAAATTGTTTTTTGCAAATTAATGTTCAAATTTTGAGGTGTCTTCTTACTTTAAAAAATGGATATGTCCCCGACTGATGTTGCCAGAGCAATTACTTTAATCCAGGATGGACGGTCACAGTATTACGTGGCAAGTGTTTTAAACGTCACAAGAAGTAAAGTACAAAGGGCAACATCAGTCGGAGACATTTTTAAAAGTAAGAAGACACCTCAAAATTAACACATTAATTTATAAAAAACAATTTGATAGCATTTGAAAGCTGTATATGACATGTCCAAGTATGGGATGATTCAACAAAACTGTCACTGGCTATGAATGGACCATAGCAACCTTAGTTCTTCATACAGGAAAAATATTGGAAATGTTTTTAAAAAAAATCCATATTTAAAAAATAAATATATCAAGGTGAACCAAAAACAAAACTGATAAAAATAGATGTGACTTGATAATTAAAACTTAATTTAGAACAATATACGGATTTGCCACTCTACAGAGTGTCTTAAACTTATAGTAAAAAAAATCTTTTTGTTTAAACCTGTATATTATAAACGTACGTGTATTTTTTAGTAATTTTTAAAATGTGAGCGATTCTCCATTAATGTATCTACAATATTTTTTAATATTTGTTTAAATCCGAAATCAAATAAAAAAGTTATTTGCGATTGAAATTCATCGAAAATTTGTGTGGATCGATTATTTTGCCTGTGAGTGTATTTTTACATTTTTAAATTATGTATAAAATAAATAGTAAAATTACTATAGGACCCATGTCCTTACCTAAAGTGAATAGTTTTCGAGTTATTTTTTTTTTTAAATAGTAGCACAAAATATTGGTCCTATATGGGGCTCCTCTATGCCCAATATTTTATCTGGGGCCAATATTGGATTTATTTAGCCGATGTTAGCCCTATATTCATAAAATGATAATTTAATATATCATTGCCAATGTTTATCCAAGGTTGGTCCTATATTGGCATATTATTTAACATTTTTCATTTCTAAAAGTGATATACGACACACGTTTGTTTCCAGGATATGTCTGTACTTGTTCTTTTCGCATCAAATCTGATGAATTTGAAAGAAAACATTCCGAATTATAATGTGCGACAAAAAAACTAGAAGAAACGCTTAATTTTTAAGTTAATTAGTCTTCAAAATCTGTACTCAAGTGAACTGACTGAATGACCATTGTGCCTCCAACTATTGGAAATACGAAAAAAAACTGTCAATCTGTCAACCGTTTTGCCACGTTGTGATTTGAGATTATTTATCGTAGTATTGGTGGATTGCGCCACAGTCCCGAAAAAATTGATAATTATCACGTTATAAGTGTGTTTTCTTCTTACTTTGCCACTGTAACACCCGAAACAAAAAATCATGTAATTGTTTTTTTATTATGCCTTACAGATTTATTAGTGTAATAATATTTAGTAAAAGTAACATTATGGTGTTAATGATTTAAAATACCAACTAATATCTGAGCATGAGACTAATTTGATATGTGTTTTTCTTGATTAAAAACTGTAACACCCGAAACGTTTCGGGTGTTACCTTTTTTCATATGTCGATATATGTGTCTGAATTGCTTAAAGAATGCAGTAAGTAATATTTTTAAGGCTCTTTCGACGACCCACTAGCGCCGCCATCGGAAAAGCAGTCACACCTATTTTAAAGAGGTGTGACTGCTTTTCCGATGGTGTTGTCGAACCTACCGAAATTTCGGTATTTCTACCTAAATGGCAACGGACCTACCAAAATACCGAATACTTATATTTTCGTCAATAATTATGTTTCTACCGATTTTTGTCAATAATAACGATTTTACCCTTTTTACCGATTTATCAATCGCACCCGAAGCTGCTTAAGTTGTTTTTAAGGGGAATTCATTCTATTTATGTTTATTTGTTACCAACTTATTTTGTAGTACCTAAAGACTAATAAAACAACGATTTTGTAGATATGAAGTGTTTAATTTTTGTTCTTGTAACACCCGAAACAGAACCATGGTAACACCCGAAACAAAGAAAAATTTTATAAAAAATAGTAAAACGTTATTTGTGACAGTGATTATGTGGTAGATGGTTAGTAAATTTTATACTTTTGAAGGCCTGTAACTTTTAGGAATGTTTCCCTAAGAAAATTCGCTGAATTTAAAATAAATGTAACAATGGTCAGGACATAGAGGCAGAATCGTGAAACACCCGAAACGCACACTTTTTGACTTACAAAATCGTTATCCTAGGTATATGCTAAACTGTACTAATTTTACAATTTAGATAAAACAACTAAAAACGTAGAGAATAAGGCACTGCTAAAGTATTATTTCAAAATACGTAAAAATTTAGACTTTGGTTGAACAAATGTAACACCCGAAATGATGGAATGACCCATAACTATTCCTTGTCAATTCTTTAACATTTTTCAACAAATTACCTGAGAAAACCCAGGACAAATTAGGCCAATCATGATTTAATCAATATAAGGAATATGATACCGAGTAGCTATGTGTTCTTTGTATTGATGTAGGTACCAGTTTCATCAAATATAACACCAATTTTGGTTAGGCTATTATTTCCAAGAACATAGTGTATCATTATTAAAGTTGACTTGTTTTTGTAATTAAAACAAATAAGTTGTTTTCAAGATGGCGAAAATTACATTTTGATGGAGAAAATGCTAATGTTTTAAATATTGGTTTTAACAGTTAACGAATTGATTTCCAATTTTCTATATTAACCTGTTTAAAAATGACTTAATTTCACCAGAACTGTTATTAAAAATTAAATCAGTGAGTCACTTATAGAAATACAGTTAGGTATATATGTATTCGTAATTTATCATCATAATCGGTTAAAAAAGTAACTACCTGATCTAAATAGTTAACGCATTTAATAATCACGAAATATAAATTCGATTTAATGGATCCAGTGGGCTGTCGGAGATAAAAAAAATATCACAGATAATCCTACATGTTGCTTGGTTAAATTATTATGATGGATTGTGCCATTATATCCAAATAAACATTCATAAGCTGAATATTAACGGATTAGAAATCACTTGTGCGTCGAATTATTAATATTAACTGGAGCGGAAGAGACTAAATGGTTCAGTTTAGTCGATAAAATATTTTTTTTGATAAAAATTATTAACACTTACGCTTCGAGCATTTTATTTAAATAAATTAAGTGGAGTGATACGAGATGAAAGATTTATGGACGGAAATCATATAAAAAAGTAGTTAAATATAGGTGACTACGGCCCAGGAGAGACAAAGTATTCCTAGCGGATAATAATCTTCGCTTTGAAAAGAATTAATATAAAAGAAATTAAAATTTTATGTGAACACACGTGAATGTTGTCCAATCATTGGACTCCAATGGTGAATGGGTATTTTGTTAAAGCCACTGGACGTTAATACTTGTAGTGGCTTAATAATAATTATAATGTTTATATTGTCCAGGACTATTAATGATCAGTAACTTGCAAATTGAAAGAATAAAAAGTTTCGTGATTATTGCTTATCTTTTTCAAACCAAATGGATGCTATTTTTAAAGACAGGCAAATTAACTACTAGATTTTTTACAAAAAGGTTGCACCTAGCAGCAAATAATTTTTATTTTTTGTTTTTATATTTCCCCCTTATTTTTTAAAATTTCAACAATTTTTGATCTGCTTGGCTGAAAATAACGTGTGATTTAATATTTGTAAAACCAAAAACGTTACTTTTTTACTCCAAAAATGTCCATAAGGCGATGTACTTTTTCTGACATTGAGGCATTTGGCATAACTTCATTGAAATGAAGTTTTGACCTTAAAAGTTCTTTTACTTTAGAATCTGATATTATTATGGCAAAGTTATTTTTTTATATCGATATTATATAATAATTAACAAGTAAATTATCAATAATAAATATTACTGTCAATTTGACATTGGGCGCCATTTTTGGTACACCCTGTATATTAATAATTTATGAGGAAAATAATTTTTATATTTGACTATTTTGGTAGTTATTTGAGCAGGTTCCGTTGGCAATGTGGACGCTATTTTTAAATTCCTCAAACACGGGATTGTTCAATTTTCAGACTGGTCAAATTATATCTAAAAATACCTCTACTCGAGTTCCTGAGTTCCTACATTTGTGCAACTGGCATAAACATTATTTTTGGTACACTCTCTTGCAACACATCATTTTCGCTTCATTCATTTTACAAACACTA